CTCTCAAATGGAAATAAGGAAAAGTGACAGTGGAAATCTGAGGAAAAGTGATCCTTGTTATAAAGTGACAAACAGCTTGATTGAATTCTGTTTGCGTCCTAGTGTCTTATAGATATTGGAACTTGTGAGAGACGAGATTTGATATTTGGCTGAGGAAATTTCTAAGAAAAGTGTTGAAAGATCAGCTCCGTTTCTCTTAAAGATTTATAACAACATGATAGATGAGAGACATGACTTGAAGACATAATTGTTAATCAAGAAGGAATCAGAATTGAAAATTTGAAAAATTCTCCACCTATCCATACTGCAAGGAAGGAGAATTGTTCTGGAGAAAACAAGATGAAGGTGGCCAAATTTGATGGGAAAATTGGTATCGATGGCCCATCTCAACAGAACCTCGCAGCTATCCACCAGGACAATGGGGAGATTAGTCAGCCATCTGAAGGGAAGCCAGGACCTATTGTCCCTGGCAGTTGAAGAATGATCCCAAAAGTGTTTCCTCACATCATGGGCTTAGCTCTTCACACTCCATTTCAGTGCTTCTAGGCCAGCCCAGTTGTGGTAAAACTGATGGATTGTATTAGTTTTATAGAGATAACTGTATTTAGTTCCCAACATTTCGTAGGATGTCTTCATTTGTGTCTAATACACCCATAGCTGTGTTGTAGCTTTTTCTCGTGACTAAGTTACCAGTGTTTGGAGTCAAGCTATATTCCAACTTAGAGTGCCCCCTTCACCAGATCTCAGTGAATAGAGCAGCCATTATACCCCCAAATGAGGCGGTATGACAGCTGACTTCTTCTCAGCTTGTAGCATGTCTCTCTAAGACTGGAAGAGCTTGACCCCCCAGGAGGCGCCAAAAGGAGCAGAAACACAAAGGGCAGGTCACAACTTTGTCACAGTGTTCCCAGAAAGTTTTTCCAGACATAGTGAAGCCCACTTTCCACATGGCACAGGGAGCGGTGAGAGTTGAATCTTAGGGTGGCCTGACCATAGGCTCAATTTTGATTTTTAAATATTGATCATAGTTTTAAAATTTTCTTTTGAGTTGGATAGTTGCAGTCTCTGTGTGATATTGCAATATCATTCTCATAGTCGCCCATTATGGCATTTGACTTTCTTCTACCTGTAGCCCATAACTATGTTGGTTGCCTGAAGTGTTGGATTGGACAGTTGAAATGGGCCTATCATTTTATTTTATGCATTTGTTCTTCCTGAAGTTGATCACACACTGTCTTTCTTGGATCTTTGTTATGGATGTCTGTGTGAATCTAGTCTTGGGCACATTTGAACCTTATATCTGCAGTGGCTACCAGAGGTAAATTGTGTTTCTTCTGTGGCCAACAGAGAACTCAGATTCCCCCAGTAATTCCTTGTTTGTATTCTCTGCCAGAATTTGCATCTTCACACTGTGCTCTCTACATGAATCTATTTCCAGCGTTCTCAAGTACACTCCAGCACCATATTGGCTTGACCTTGTTAATGTGGTGCAAATGGCTGGATGAAAGGCATGATCTAGGACCATCTGACTGGGCCTTATTCCTGGGCAGGCGTCGTGACCCTGGGTCTCAGGCATGGCTTTATCCCTGTTCTTATTCCTCCTCCTGAGATGATGCTTCTCCTTGTATTCCTGTTCCCTCTCGGGTAGAAAGTATCTTTGTTTCTTTCCCAGGTGGTCCTTCCCACGGCAGCCATGATGTTGTAACTGTGTCCTTAACTTCTTTCCAGTTTTGCTGCTCTTTCCTTCATACGTATGCTTTTACTCCTTAGGGAAGAGGAGACGGGGCTCAGCATAGAGTTTTCGAAGTTTCATCTGTTCCTTGCCCAATTCCTATTAGTTTCCACTTGTGACTTAGGATACAGGTTTCGGTGGCTTTCTCCCTGCAGGGTAGTTACTTAGTACAGTAGTGGTGATTGGTGAGGTGGGTCTGGCTGCATTTCAGCAGCAGGTGCTGTTCCTCTCTCCCAGACAGCACAATCTTGGGGGAGGAGCTCTTTGGGATGGGTCTTCAATCCTGGAGGAAAAGACTTTAAAGGGTATAGAGATCTCCCTAATTATGTGGCCTCTGAGAATATCATACTATAGCACCTACTCCACGTTCCACTTCAAGAAATCTATTAAGAATTTCTCATTTACGCTTGTACTAGTTTATAGGCAATCTGGTGTTATTTGTCCCAGTGAAGCTGTTATTTACATACTGATTCTCCTGGAACCACTTGTCTCTCTCCAGATTTCAAGTTTATTGTTCGCACTATAAATTCAATTATCTAATTCATTGAAGAAGGTCACTAATTTGCAGTTTATTCAGGATAGTTATTTTTGAAAGAAGACAAACAACGTTTTCCTCAGCTGTGTTTATCCTGATCCTGAGCAGCAGTTATATTTGCAATTCCTAGGATCTGGAAACAATCCAAATGTCAATCAGAAACTTAATAGACAAACACACTGTGATATAATCATTCATTGGAATACTTCCCATGATTACAGTGTATGAATGCTTGATGCATGCACGAAAAATTATTGCATTCACAAGCAATGAGTTTGAGTGAAAGAATACAGACAAATAAAATGCACATTTCATGATCCATGTATATGCAATTTAGTAATGAAAACAACTCTAAAGTAACACAAAGATCTGGAGTTGGCTGTCTACAAGTTACTTTAAGGGAAGTGGGAGGGAGATACTACAGAGGAACAAAGAGAGATTTTTAACGGTGATGGTTCTCTTCACAACCTTGATTATGGTGATGGCCGCACGGGTGTGCACATATGTCAATACTCATCAAATTGTACATTTAACATAGGGGAAGGTTACTATATTTCAGTTACACTCCTTAAAACTACTACAAATAATCAAATGAATAACCAGGAAAGAAAGAAAGAGGAATAGAGGCATTGATAATGACCCATGATATTTTCCTCACACTCAGCATGATGGAGGTCGAGAGAGAGTTCCCACTCAGGAGATTCCACCACATTTCAGCGGGACTTGGGGAAGGAGCTCTGGGGAGGAGGCTGGTATGACCACACAATTCTCCCCACACCACTTCAACTTTCTCTTATGTTGCTTGGCGCGGGTCCCAGGTAAAAGGATGGTTCTAAGCATGAAATTCTAACTATAGTTTTAAACCTTCATGTCAAAAGTCCTGAGCCCCTCGTGGGATGCATTGCACCTTCACACTTTCTGACACAACTGAGATCCCCAGTGACTGCAGCTCTACTGCCTAGTGGTCAAGATCGCCCACATGTTCTGTACCTGTGGAACTGTACCCCATGTTGGTAGAGTGTACACAGAGGGAGGACCTTGCTAGACTGGAATTACTTCCCGTCGTATATGTGTCATACCTTCCAATTATGGAAACTTGGAGATAAACTCCATGTCAAATAAAGATAAGTGCAAATGGTGCCTGAAAGTAGATACAAGAGGGAATGTGTTACACCAGGAGGGAGATCGACTACTACGCTGGTATCTTGAGAGAGACGCAGAGCAAGAGATCATTGCTTCTTAGCAAAGTAGAGCCGATACACACAGGGTGAATCCACAGTTTCCAAAACCACCCTTGCTTTTGGAACCTGATGAAGCTGAATGGAAACTAGCAAACCTGACTGGACTTCCTGTGGGAGAAATTGTGGTCCTATGGGATGATGATGAAATAGATCGATGTGTGATGACCATGGGGAATGTGTGCAATGCAGCAGCACTTTTTAACTCCCGTGACTCTTATGTTTCAGTTTATATTTACTACAAAAAATATACTCTGGGAAGAAATTTATGAGAGCTGCTCCTCACAAGACCATCGGACCTTTCTTCACACAGTCAGCCAACCCATCAGTGTACAGCTATCAACATTCTCACTGAAGGCTTAGCCAATTCTCCATTTATAAATAGAAAGTATAGCCACTGCACAGTCATCATGGCACGGTGTACTGTTCACAAATGGAGAAACGCATTTCACCATTAGTCTTCTGGGAGGAAAACTATTACGCAGAATAAAATAGGCATCTTATCTTTATTTAGTATTCATATGTAGAGAGTCACTATGTCTCTCCTTTACTTACACCATTTTTTTTATCTTCCATTTTTTTTAACTTCTCTTCATACAGATCCTACACATTTGTCTCAGGTTGCAGAGCTAATTAGTTGGTGTAATGTAAATGGCATAGCTTTTAAATTCATATCTTGATTGTTCATTTCCAGAATACCAGAATGCACTTGAAATTGCACCCTGCATCCCGGCTCATCTCCATGATCAGTTTCCCAGGATTTGGGTAGATTCTTTGTTGTTTGGTATGATGACAATCCTGTTGTCTGAAATGAAGACAGTTTCATCTATTCCTTCATATCCTTTTGCTATTTACTCTACAGTATTACTTCAGGAGAGAATATAATTAACACTTACAGCAGAAGACTGGTTTTTCTGGTGAGACATTTCTCTGCACAAAGCTCCATCTCTGGAGTGGTGTGGTCATCCAAGGTTTTCTGCCATTTCCCTCCCCACTGTGTCAGACATACCTGCCAGTTTCTCTGAAACATTTTCCTGCCCTTGAGGTGGGAAGGAAAGTCTAGAAGCCCATGAGGGTGGGGACCTTTCTGAAGATCATCGTCTGCATTCTCTGAGGCCTGAGCAAGGACACTCACCACAGAGGTGAGCCTCAGAGGCACAGGATTCCCTGTGGCTCCTTCCCCTTTTAAGACCAGGGATTCTGGCACATGGAAGTTCTCCTCCAGCTCAGTTTATATCACAGTAACAGTGCAGTGTTGTCAGTCTCTTTCAATCTCTCTCTCTTTTCTCCTTCCATCCTTGGCCGAGTAACTCTAGGAAAGGCAGTACATTCTCACCAGATAAGATAAGATTCTTACATTTCCTCCTTTGTCTATTGACGGCTGCCCAGTGTGAGTAGCTCAGGGACATCTGAAATGACATCATGGGGAAGAATGTGCTCTGTGTGTGATTCACAGCAATTTTTTTTTTCTCTCATTCCGTGTGTCTTGTCCCAGTCAAAGTGCCAGGAGTCAGCCCCAGGGCAGGTGAAGCCCTCAGAGACCACGTCCTCAGCCTGCATTCTCTCTGGTAACTTTGTCACCAGTGATGAATCCTGGTGCTGGGTCCACCAGCCTCCAGGGAAGGGGCTGGAATGGCTTGGGCATGGTCACTATAGGGCATCATCATGGAACACAGACTACAACCCATGCATCAAGGACCGCATCTCCATCACTGCTGACATCACTTCCAAGAAATAGTTTTCCCTGCAGCTGAGCTTTGTGGTGGCTGAGGACACAGTGATGTATCTCTGCACAAGACACAGTGGGGGAAAGGCAGTGTGAGCCCAGACACAATGCTCCCCACAGTGAGACAGAAGGGTCTGGGCTTCACCAGTTACCCAGCACCACCAGAGGGCAGCCATGGCCCACGCAGTAGAGGAGACCAGCACCAGGAACAGGTGCAGTGGAAGTTAAGAGCTGGTTTCCTGCCAGCATCTGGGGCTTCCTCTCATCTAACTGTTTCCCAGGGAACCTTTCCAGACTAATGATTCTGTGCCTTCCACTGATGTCTCTAAATTCAGAAGGGTTAGTTATAATAGGATGAAACATTCTCAAACGCACGAAAGGCAGAGTGGGACAAACAGAGGCGTCAATATGTAATCAGGTTTCCTTTTTTCACTTTTCAATTATTTTTTCTTTCCTTTTTGTTGGTTCTTGGTTGGATGCCTCCATTTCCTTCACCCTGCTCTGCACCTCCCCATGAGAAACAGCTTTCTCATGGTGGTGTCTTGTGTTTGAGGAATGGGAGCTCCTGTTCCCAGTTGTCAGGTTTCAGGTGCATGTACGGGGACCCTCCAGGGGAAGAGACATGCTTCCAGAATATGATCTCACATGAGCTTACCTGGCTCCTCACCTGTTGTGCTTTCTGATTTATGGCTCCCAGGAGAGGCTTGAAATCGCTGAAACTTTCAGTGGTTTCATGTTCAGTGATGTCTGTCCAGGGTCCACTTGCACTTGGTGAGATTAGATTCCTGCATCTAGTCACAGGTCAAAGGTGACCTCAGAGGGAACTTCTGGTTTCTGCTCTGACATATAAAGATTTGGAAATTGTCACTCTTATTTTTACAAAAGAAAGCTGGAAAAGTGGAAATTAGTGACTTTTCTTGACTGATCAGAGAAATTCCAGGAAAAACCTCCACCCCAATATATGGAAGCACAGCCACATCCAGAACCCCCAGTGAGATCAGCTTGCCTAGAACAGAACCTGCTGGAGGCACAATCAGGTGGACCACTTTCAGGGTAACTGTGAAGGTCTGGAGGAAAAGAGTGGATAGTGTGAGGGTGAGAGCTCCTGGGGCCACACCCCACATTTTGTGGGCTCTTCTATCAGAAACCTCCGGGTTCCAAATGAGGATCCATATATATCCCCTCATGGCTCTGGCAAGGGGAATGGGAGGACTAATCACTGGGAAAGCCACCAAGAACCATCTCCAGGCAGACCCTCCAGGTGTATCCAGGTGCATCCATCATCCATCATCAGGGTTCCACCAGAGCTGCAGATCCAGGAGGAGACAGGATTGCCCACAGGAAAGGAGCAGGCACAGTTCCAGGTAACTGAGCAATGAGTCTGTCTCCAGGATGGATGCGGGACCTTAGGTCCTCAGACAGGTGGACAGAAGGGAAGATGACCATCAGGATGAAACCCTGAGGAAAGAGGTACACGAGTCTGTCCTGCTGACCAGGTGTCCTATGGAGGCTCGAGCATCCTTCACTGAGCTGACCTCGTTCACCTTTGACTGCTGCCCTGCCTGCCAGTTGGTCCTGCAGAACAGCCTCAGGAGAATCAGGGGACAACAGCTCTGCCTCCTCCTCCTCCTCCATTACTCTGGGTTCTCCTCTCCCACAGGTGTTGTGTCTTGAGAGGACCCCCAGCTGCAGGACTGAGAGAGGTCAGGTGGTGACTCTGTCCATGTCTGGCTTCAGCTCCAGCCCCAAAGTCACAGTCCTGGTGATGTCCACAGTTTCCTGGCAGAATCATCCTGAAGCCTGGCACAATCATTTAAACCAGGACAAGAGACACTGAGAGGGAAATGCCCCGTGAGCCCAGACAGGACCATCCCTGCAGGGTGGAGGCTGGGCTGCAGAGGACACTCAGAACCTCAAGGAACAGGGCTCCAGACCAGGAGCAGGTGCGCAAGGGGCTGGGGAGGGACTTCCTCTTACACTCCCAGTCTCTCTTTTTCAAAAACCAATCAAAATTAGGAGTTGGACAAGGACTGTTATGGTTTCTTTCATTGTTCTCCTCTATTTAGAGAATTTATTTAACTCAAGGCAAGGAAAACCACACACAAAAGGTTTCCAGGACTTGATTATAATGAGAACCTGGAGGATACAGATGATTTTATTAATTCATTGGGCAAATAATTTTGGGAGACACACTTATCCCAGGAATAAGATGTTCAGATGTCAAATCCTAGAACAGGTTCAGGTGGTCTCTGTGCCATTCAAAGGTGGGTTCACAAGGAGGAGCATGTCCTGTCAGGCTTGTTCCTCTGGGGAAGGAACTCTGTTTGCACAGAGTTAAGGGACATGGCAGGGGACACGTATCCTCAAACAAGGATTAAGACTTGTGCCCTCAGCCTCCCCCTGAGAAGTGTCCCTGGGTCATCAATCTTCTCTCAGGTTGGCTTGTATCTTGACTATGAAATATTCTGCCTCATGAATATGGAAATGAACGGAGGTGTACTAGGTTAAATATGGAGATATCTGTGCCCTGAGAGCATCACCCAACAGCCACTCCCTCCCCTACAGACGCCCTGCGAGCACAGCCCCTCAGCATGGACTGGAGATGGTGCATCCTCTTCTTGGTGGCACTGGCTACAGGTAAGGGGCTCCCCAGTCCCTGGGGTGAGGGAGACACTACGGTCGGTAAAGGGGATTTCATCCACTCCTGTCTTCTCTCCACAGGTGTCCACGCCAAGGTCCAGCTGGTGCAGTCTGGGGCTGAGGTGAAGAAGCCTGGGGAATCCGTGAAGGTTTCCTGCAAGGCTTCTGGATACACCTTCACTGAATATGCTATGAACTGGGTGTGACAGACCCCTGGAAAAGGACTCAAGTGGATGGGATGGATTAACACAAATACTGGGAAGCCCACGTATGCCTCCGGCTTCTCAGAACGATTTGTCTTCTCCATGGACGCCTCTGTCAGCACGGCCTATCTACAGATCAGCAGCCTGAAGTCTGAGGACACAGCCACATATTACTGTGCAAGACTCACAGCGTGATAACCCACATCCTGTGTGTGTCCAAAACGCTGAGGGAGACGGCAGCTGTGCTGGGCTGAGACAGATTAAGGGACAACGTGCTGCAGCCTTTCTTTAACTTAGGCTTATAAATTCATATGTGAGAAATGAAAAAAACTGCGTTTGTTGATTATCTGTGAAATGTTTTCAATTGCGTGTTGGTAAACCTACTCAGAAGGGAAGTGGGGCAAAGACTCTCAAAACTTTCTGTAGCGTTCTCTAATTTCTGTGATATAAATAGACCATCATGGTGGATTTGAACGTGAAGTCACTGAACACGGAGTCTTCAACGGGCGCTGGCATCTTCTCTTTGGAGCAATAGCAGCTGCTCCCTCTCTTAGGGTCAGAGACGATCGACTGCATTATAGTCTAAGAGTTACAACTGGAAGCAGAATGAAGGATGGAGAAGAACACAAATGGGCTATGATATGCCACTTCCCCCAAATAGTCATTGGAAGTAATTGGCATCCACAGTCATGCATGTGTGTATAGATCCTGCATGGTAGTTCCTATGGCAGCTGTGAAAAATTGCCACAAACTAGGATTTAAAACCCAGATGTATTCTCTCACAGTTTGGGAAGCGAGAAGTGTGAGATCAGTTAAGCTGGGTTTCAATTAAAATGCCAGCAGGGCTGCACTTCTTCCAGAGGCTCCATGGGCCCTTTCCTCTCCTGGAGCTGCATTCACTGCCTTGCAGGCTCATGACACGCTGCTTCATTTAGAACCTGGCAGGGTAGCATCTTACTTCAGCCATCATGCTCTTTCTTCTTTGCAGAATCTCCCTCTGCCTTGCTCTTATAGGGAGAGGGTGATTCTATTTAGCGTCTACACAAAAAAGCCAGGACCATCTCTGCATCTCAAGATCCTTCACATGCTCAGACTTTCAAATTCCCTTTTATCATCTAAGGGATGATGATAAATTGTGGATGATAAATCATATCCACAATTTCTAGAAGTCAACACCTTGATATCCCAGGAGGTATTCTCCAGCCTACAACAGTGTGCCGTCTGAGCCCTAAAGATCCTCGTCCTTTTCTGAGAGACTAGGAGCACTTTTAACTCCTCAGGGAAGTGGTCTTCTCTTTTCTCATCAAGCGGATCATTGCATCCACGACCCAATATGTTGACATGGAACATACGGAACTTCACCCTTGAAAATTCACACACAAACTATATGTTCTCACGTGAGACCAAAGCAGGATCATTGTAAAACTAGGAACAATGATATCTTCACCGGTTGAAACTGGAATGGCCCTCCACGTTTCTCCCCACGCCTTTCTATTTATTAGTTGTCTGGGGAAGAGGACTGTAGCCCCATGAAGGAGAGAAAGGTTATGATGGACGGTGGATGCTGCCCCCTCCATGAAACCCAGCACCTTCTCCTAGGCCTCAGGCGAGACAGAGGAAGTGCTCTCCTACTCAGCATCCTTACATTCTTGTAACATCAGATGAGCTTCTACATGAGAAACAAGCCTCTGCCCATGGGGTCAAATTGTGCCCACCCCTCCCCTTAGCATGACGATATCTTGGGGATGGTTGTTCTTATCCATTGGGAAATGCAATTCTAAGGACCTCCTTATGTCTGGGGGCACTTGTCCTGTGTGTGTATCTCAGCTATTTCAGAAATGTGTGTGAAGAACTATTAGTCTAATGTACCTGTGTCCTTGTGATTCTTATTGTATTAAATGTACTGGCCCAGGTGTATCTGGAGAAGATGATCTAGGAGTGGGGACCCTCACAGTCCCTCTCATTTACCTGCTTAACCTCTGAATTCTTCCTAAAGCTGTCTTCAAAACTTTTCATTTTATTCAGTTTTCTCAATTATATTCTCTTAGTTTTTGCTATGCATAATGAGGATGCTTTCCTCTATTGCGTTGCTTGTAAACTATTCATGCATTTGTTCTTTTTAATTATGTAAGGATTGACACAAAATATTTTAGATGCATTGTCTTATTTTAATATGCTTCTTTCCCAATTATCCTTGGTATAATTTATTTTGTGAATATCTCTGATAATTTAACATACATGGTAATGCACATCATTTTTAGATTTTCCTATTCCTACAATATTTATTTGAAGTTTTTACATGAGTAATAATATATTTAAACTAAAAATACTTTATATTTTAGGTCTAAAATGTGAATTTACTATGTAATTCCATTTACCAAAACAATTTAACTAAATCTAATTTGAGTTATCATTCGGCGTATTGTAATCCATTTTTCCCAATTCTTTTATTATTTTCACAGTCATGTAATCACTAATCCCTCTCATAATAGTGATGTTAAAGGGAAATGATTTTCCTCTACATCAAATATTTACAACTTCCTAACAGTCATCATTTTAAGGTTAACCAATTTCAAATCTATTATGAACTATTTCAGAATTTACTTTGGAAGAATAATTTATTCCATAATTCACTGTTAGAGTTAGAACACAGAATTACATAACAACATTTACACTTCAGTTTATATCTAGAATCCTTCTGTTTGTGGAGATGATTTTGCAAATTATACAGTGTATCTGAGATACATGCCATTTATTTTAAAGACAGTTTATGATGGAAAATCCTAGAATTTCATCAATATCCATATCCCCTCCTCTTCCAGGATACACAGCTAATCTTATTTTCCCTAATCCTTTTGTAGTTGAAGCCAGGACCTGTGTTCCAAGCAAGGAATCTCCAGGAATATCTGTGAAGAGAGAGCCGCCTGCTGACTCAGTCACCTGCCCTGTGAATCCCAGAAGAACAAGGAGTGAACCGTTGCAGAATGCAAGCCCTTCCCCTGTTTAGATCTGATTGATACAGAAGCTGGACTACCTAGTAACCCACAAAATGTGATGGACAAATATGAGTTTATCTTCATAATGAAATAAAATTGGATGACGTGGGAGATCAAGAATTCACACACTAGATCCTGTAATTCATAAGAGTCTTCACACAGGCATTCGGCAATATGGGCTTTCAAAGTCTACTTCTAATTTCTGAGCTGGAGTGCAGACTGTGGATGACCATAGATCTAAAGCAGGAATTTGGGTTTTGAACACCAGCATGTTCAGGTGCAATGATCAAGGGGCTTGCTGCAGGTGCACTGTTTCCTGGTCCTATCCACGTGATTCTGAGGTGATTGCACAAGATCTGATGATGTCCCCAGTATGTGATGAGACTAAACCAGAGTGAGGTTCTGTTGATGGGAATGCAAAATGGCACCCCCACTTTTGAAAACTTTGCCACCTTTTGGAGAGGTTAATCAATAGCTTACCATATGACCAGTCATTTCAATGGTAGGTACATAACTATGTGATGTTAAAACTAATGTTCACTCAAAACATGTACACAGATTTTTATAGGAGGCTTATTTGGATTTACTTCAAAACAGAAGCAGCCAAGATTTCTTCCAACAAGGGAATGAATAAACAGTGAAGTACTGTTTACTAATTAAAAGGAGCAAGAACCTGGGGGCTAGCTCCATGGCTTAATGCGTAAGTTGAGCGTGCTCCACTTAAGTTCCCAGGTGTAGACCTACACCACTCATTAGCAGCCATGCTGTGGTGGTGGCCCACATTCTAAATACAGGAAGATTGGCACAGATGTTGTCTCAGGGAAAATCTTTCCCAAGCAAAAAGAAGAAGATTGGAAACGGATATTAGCTCAGGGTAAATCTTCTTCAGCCAAACAAACAAACAATAAGAAGAATCAGTATATGCGGGAATATGGATGAATCTCACATACATTGTCCTACATGACAGAAGCTGCTGCCTCAGGCTACACACCGCATTATCACATCTACATGATACCAGGATATGGAATCTACAAAACTAAAACCACAGAAAAGTGATCTGTGTGGGTGAGAAAAGGGCTTGGATAGAAATGAGAATAATGAATTTCCTTGAGTGGGAATGACTCAATTTTCTGATAACTTCATTTTCATAATATTTACAAGATTGTCCTTATCCAAACTCATAGAACCTTAGAGCAAAGTGGGTCAATATGTCCATATTTATTTAAGTTATACTCTCACAAAAGTGTAATTATCTTGCTTATTAAATAACAATTTGAATAAAAGTATGTTCAGGAATACTTCTGTAGTCAACATTATGTATTGTGTTCCCTTTTAGCCAGGTGGTTTTCCAATGACTATGTATACTGACTGACTGGGTAGATAGATAGATAGATAGATAGATAGATAGATAGATGTAGATAGATAGACAGATAGATAGAAAATAACTAGATGGAGAGATGATAGGTAGGTAGATAGATTGATAGATAGATATAAGATGGGGAGTAAGGGAGTGAGACAGAAGCAGATTTAGTTAAATTAATAAAAATTACAAGTTCTAATGAGGGACTTGTGGAAGTGAGTGCTGGGAAGAGATGGAAGTTAACATAAGCGGAATGAATTCATGATAATGATGGTCATGAGGTTTCATGAATGCAGTTCCTTTGGTCATTGCAGATTATAATAATTTTTGACAAAAGGGCAGCAAACTATGGGTAAATCCTTACAGAATGAAAGGAAGTGACCTGACAGAGATGCACAGATGATGGACAAAGGGAGAGTGCCTAGTAAGCAGAAGTGTTTCTGATCACATGCTTGAAGGAACTGAAAATATTAGAACTGAGGGACAAAGGTCCAGATTGAGGCAAGGTCTCTTGTGCCCAACCATCCCAGAGCCTACTATAGTGTGTGTACGTGTGAACTTCTAGAATACGTGTGTAGTATATAGAATCTTGGAACACCAGTATTTGTATTTCTCTACAGGCTTCTTCGATTCTGAAATCACACAAAGTCATCCTAACATTCATAGTTATGTAATACCCACCCCCTAAATGGTTACTGTATTCCCTGTGTTACTCGCTAGGTGTTCAACCTTGGCCATCTCCTCCCTCTTTCTTTCCTCTGAGGAAGGCCATCCGTTCTGACAGTCCCTCGTTGTCCATCTGAACTGTGTGCAGGAAAGAATTTTCTTAGCAGTCTTGG